AGAAGTAAGTAATGAGGAGATAGGCAACTCATCCGAGAAAGAGTTTAAAGTAATGATGGCAAAGATGTTCCAAGAACTCAAAATAAACCAGAGACATGAATGTAAAACAAAACTACAAGACTTTCAGGAAAAAAAAATCAGAGAAAATCTTAGGGATCTAAGGCTAGGCAAAAGCACAGTTCATAATAAAAGGAAAAAATCATAAATTATACTTCCGAATTAAAGCTTCTTCTCTTTGAAAGATCTCTTCTCTTAAGATTAAAAAAAAAAGACCACCTATAGAATGGGAGAAATATTAGTAAACTACATATCCAACCAGTATCTAGAATCTGTAAGGAAATCTCAAAACTCAACAGTGAAAAAATAAACAATCCAATCAGAAAATGCAAAAAAGTAGAAAAAGATATTTCACCAAAGAGGATGTGCAAATGGAAGACAATCACGTTAGGCATTAAGAAAATGGAAAATAAAACCACAATGAGCTTCACTATACAGCTGTCAGAATGCTTAAATTCAAAAAAAAAAAAAAACTGAAAACACCAAAGGTTGGCAAGGATGCAGAGAAATTAGATCACTGATGCGTTGTTGAGAGGAATGTGAAATAGCTAGGGCATTCTGAAAAATAGTTTGACAGTTTCTTTAAAAATTAAACAAGCAACTGTCATATGACCTAGCAACTGCAGTTCTGGATGTTTACCTTAGAAAAATGAAAATGTATATTCACACAAAATGTATGCACAAATGTATTGCAAACAAATGCAGCTTTGTCTCCAATAGTGAAAAAATGGAAACAACCCATTTGTCCTTCAAGAGTTTAAAAAACTGAGGTGTATCCATACCATGAAATTCCATTCAGCAATAAAAAGGAACAAGCTGAAGTGACACAATACTGATGAATTTCCGGAGAGTTATGCAGAGTGAAGAAGGCCAATCCCAAAAGACCACAAAGTATACAATTCCACTCATACAACACACATATACAATAACATACATGAAAAGCAAATTCATAGAAATGAAGAATAAATTAACGGTTACCAGGCATTAAAAGGAGGTGGGCAAGTGGGAGGGAAGTGAGGATTGCTATAAAAGGGCATCATGAGAGATCCTCGTGGTGATGGAAATGTTCTGTATCTTGACTATATCAACAGCAATTACTTTGGTTGTGATATTTTACTATCATTTTGCAGAGAGACATCATTGGGAGAAACCAATTTCTTACAACTGCGTAAGAATCTACAATTATCTCAAAATAAAAAGTTCAATTTAAAAAAAAATCAGTTATCCCTTTGGTCAATGGGCATATGAAACACGCTTAGCATCATTAGTCATCAAAGACCTGCACGATGAAATACCACTATACACACAAACACCCCCCCCAGAACGTCAAAAGAAGAAGAAATGATGTAAAGCACTG